AAGTGCAAAATGGCAACAGAGATGGTGAACAGATGGCAAGATCGAGAGCGTGGAATGTCCTTGAAGGCTCATGGAAGTATGTATCTTGCCCATTATTTAGGAGACAAAGGCTATGATCTTCGATCATCTGCTCAATTTGTCTTCCTCGGCAATTTGTATCTTTACTACCCCAGAGCGGACTATGGCCGTTAAAATCTCCTATTATGATAAAAGGCTCAGGCAGCTGCTCTATTAGATTATTTAAATCCTGCTGATCAATGTGCTCATTTGGAGGCAAATACAGAGAAACGAAACTGAAACAACAATATCAAAATTTATTTGAGTAGCGACAACTTGGAGGGATGTCGTCAAAGAAAAGCACATTTGAGGGATAATCCAGTGAGGTGAGGAGACCTACACCTCCACTGGCACGCTCACCTGCAAGGTTATCTTTCCTGACGAAAGAAAACCTCCGAAGTTTTGCATGTTGTTCTGGTTTTAGATTTGTTTCCTGTATTGCGAAGCATACACAGGATGATACAGCATTGATTATAGCTTTGATGTCGAAGCAAATTTCGGTGGAAACCGCGACAGTTCCATGACACGAGGGTGGCCATTATGAATGATGTTTGTTGTTTCCTGTGTTCCTTTTTTGTTTTGCGTGGAAGTAGATGCCTGGGAACTTCCAGACCCTCTTCCACTTCCATAAAGTCTGAATCCGCAGATTCAGAAATTTTATTTGCAGAGAGCTATTGCTGGGACTTCTATTTTTGGTTTCTATTTTGTGAGGCACAGTTTTGGGTTTGCTTCGGAATTGCTATTTCTTTATTTTGTACTGGTATGAGTTGCATTTTCTTTTTCTTGTTGGAGGCTGTTGGGTTTTTATTTGGTAGGAGTCTGTGGTACTATGATGTTTGGGTGGCTATTGTACGGGTTGATTTCAACAGCATTGGCATATGATTTGTTTGATCGATAGGCTGTGTGCTTTGGACTAGTGTCTTCTGGCTTCGGCATACGAGATGTTCCTAGAAACTTTTATGGTCTGGACATTCCTTTTTCTAATTTCCATTTTGGGACAGGAACGAGAAAATGCTGGGTGGTCACCCTTGCAATTTATACACAAGGCGCAGCGGTACAATTATCAGCTATCGTGGCCAACCGAGGAGCATCGGGCGCACGTGAGGGTCCCACGACAAGACGTCTTAGAATGGCCGAAACGCTGGCATTGGAAGCATCGCATAGGGTTTGGAATATAAGGTCTTACAGGACAGTTTAAGATATCCAGGCCTTAATATTCTTAGGCAGATCAGGCGTGTTGAAGGTCAAGGATCACGTGTTTCGTGTCATCAACTTACCTTCCTTTACGCATCTTGATCCGCCTAGCACCACAGACATTTTTTGGTCAGCTAACTCGGAAACGATCTCTTCTTCTGAAACGCACAGAAGGTCGATTTTCCGAGATCACCCTCTACAATAATTCAAGTTTTATGCGCTGACACAGTTACATAGCTACTTTTCCAAGTTTGGTTTGTGACAAAAGGGAAGCAGATTGGGTTGGCTGAGACAGTATCTATAAGCAGGTCTCCAGAACGGAGACGCTTTATATTCTTTGGCTCACCTAATGCAAGAACTGGATATATTTGCTTACAACGAAAGGGGACATCTTTTGCAGTTTCACCGGAGGGACTCGAGACTACAAGGAAGCGTGGATTATCAGTGATTATTTTGGCATTTGCATCGGTACGTATTTTCTTAGTAAGAGATTTATCAATTATTTCAGATACTTTGGGGTCTTTTTTCATTTGATTTGAGAAGAAACATAGAAAGCCATATTTAAGAAAGAAAAGATTCGGGTCCGACGGCCCCGCCCACCACGGAGCCCAACAAGGGAACACAGATTCCTGTGTTAGGGCTAGCCGGACCTATACGCAAACTGAAGCCCCACAGTCGGCTTTCCCGAAAGCAGGTACTCCCGAGAGCTTGACCCCAAGCCACTGACACAAGGACTAGTGACCAGCCGATTGACACCCGGACACCCGTGAGGACGACTAAGGTGCCTCCCGTTTAGCTGAAGCAGAGGCCAAAGCAGTGTGTTGGGGACAGTACCTCGCCCCCTCAACTACCAGGACCCTCCTTTCCAGCGACACGGGTCTCCACGCACGGCAAACACGTGGGCAGTTTTCTCTCGCCACTCGAAACTAGAAACAAGGTCTGTTCCAGCCTCTCGTGACGAGCCCCAAACTCCGTAGAGAGAACCACAAGGGAGAAGGGAAGGGAAAAAGTTCCAGCCAAGAGGAGAGGAGACGGAAAAGAGGATAGATCACTGGGGCTCCAGGATCGTGACACCCGTCTCATCAAGAAGATGATCCCCTGAAGGGCTAGGGTACCTCGGGATTGCCACACCCGTACTCACAAAAGTGAGCCCCCTGAGGGGCAGAAAAATTAAATGAACTTTCTTTAAACATCCACCTTTTTATTTGATATCATACACAATATTTTGCGTTTAATTGCCAATACCGATAAATTTTCCTTTTCTTCACATCTATTTCATACAAAAATTACATATATCTTTTAATATTGCTTAAAATTTGTAATTTATTTGATCAAAGCTTCTTTCAATGAGTATTGCGAGTTGTTCTGAATCATAATTAACAATCTATAAAAGTGTTCTTCAAAATAATTTTCAAAATAAAATTGATAAAACTAGAATAAACTGCTACAACTGCTTCCGGTCTTTTGTAACAAGGAAAACTGAATGAAAGAATTTTTAATGCCATCTTACATTTCATTTTAATGTTAGCTGGAATGAGAAAATAACAAACTGCTGTCTTTTTCATTTATAAGTAAAATATTCAATATTGTAAATATAGGAATTTTTAATGTTTATCAATATTATTAAAAATCCTTAAATTCAAAATTTCATTTGGAAATTAAGCAGAAAGCCTGTTACATGACATACACTGTAATGTATAGAACCGTGCTTTCAAAATTTTTGTAAGCTCATGAAGTGAAAAGAAAGAGATAGAACACAATATTTAACTTCATATTTCATTTTAATTTTTTAACATCTTTGCACATTCAGCAGAAAATGTGATCAGTATTACCTTACAGCTAAAACAGACTATCACTACCAAAATTTTAGAAAGCTTTCCACCTTTTTTTTTTCCATTCAATATACTTTTGTTATGCCGACAGCTTATCTTAAAAATTAGTAGCCGAGTTTCATTAGATATTTTCAAAAAATTAAGTAATATGACACATTTTTTAACATAAGAACTAAAGGGGAAAAAAATTCTTTGAAAGCTATTTAACTTATACAGGAGCAGCAAGTTCTTGTTTTGTGTAAAATGCTTTTTTACCTTACGGGTGTTTAAAGGTAATACCAGAATCTTACTTTTGAAATACTTTAATTCATAAACCAAAATTTACATATTATAATTAAAAGCTGATGCCGTCCTTTCAAAACAAAATATAGCTAAGCAATAAAGATATTCATACTTTCATAAATTGGCATATTGTTTGTGGTTTAATACTACATTAAATGCATGAAATTATGTGACAAAATTTAAGACAAGTACATTAATACAAACGTTAAAAACTAGGAAAATTCAACCACATATTGATATCAATTCTAGAATTTCTGATCAGAGTCCTCTCAATTTTATACTTTGAGACTGAGATTTTCCTAATTTTTAAACAAAAAGAATTAAAGATATCAAATTAACATAACAAATAGTAAATTAATCATAACAATTTCACAAATGATTACAAACAATAAAGTAAAATGCAATTAAAAATGTAGAAATTAAAAAAAATATATTAACAGTGATTACATATGAAAAATCCAGAACTGCATTTATTAGAATACACAGTCAATAAGTAATAATAATTTCATAGTACTAATTTCATAGTTGTCAATTCAATACATTCTAAAACTGGCTGGACTAATTTAATTAACCGCTTCCCTTACACATTTTTTTGAAAAAAATTGCAAAAAATCATCACATTTTTTTATTTTATTATTAAATACTAGGAAACGAAACAAAACAAAATATATAGGTTTTAAGTCGAATTTTTAATTTTTTATAGGTGTAAAAGCATTTAGTTTTTATATTAGCTTTTTATATTAGTTTTTATATTAGTTTTTATATTAGTAACTATCCCGAGTTATCTCGGGCAAATAAAAAAAATTAAATATTAGTCGTTGTATGAGAGTTTTTGAAACAAGGGACAACACAAAGTGATATCTAACATTCTATACACTGGTATCTAGTTTCTTTTCTTACTGGCTTACCTCTGGAATCTCTTTTGCGGGAGCACAGAGGACACCGTCTCATTGGATTTGATTTTTTTTTCAGTAACAGGAATAACATCTGGAAAATGCCTTGAAGTTATAATCACTATCTGAAAAATCATCGCTTTCGCTATCTTGCATCATCGCAATTATTTTACTTTTTTCAACGCAACTATCATTCTTTATACATTACTAATCCGCAAGCCGACGACAATAGGGAAAACATGTGACCAGTCCCGCCAAAAGAACCGTGAAACATCAAAACTTGGCGAATTGCCAATAAAAGCTGAATATTTCCTTTCATTTCCTCCAAGCTGAGTGAAACCGTGATAAAACAAATCATACTGACAAATTCTGCTTTGCACGAGTTTTCTCGGGATAATAATTAACTGCAATATATATGAACCTGGGTTAACTCGGGATAATCAGGCAAGCGGTTAAGGTCAAAATTCTATAATTTCATGCATTTTTAATTATACTTATGATAGTTACTGCTAACCAAAAGTGATTATACAGGCATACTTTCTATGAACTTGATTTAGACTGAATAGTTGTACACAAAGAATAACAAAAAATTATTCACTTAATTACAGCCATAAAATGGAATATAATATACACTACAAATATGTGAACACTTAAATGCACGATTTAAATACAAAACACATTGTGGCAACACAAAAACATGCATTATAAATCAAATCATTTATGCATTTTCAGTAATATTTACCATAGCAGAACTGTCAATATCATCATTTTCAATGAGTACTTCTTGAAAGGCTGAAGATTCTGAACTGTAAAAGAAATAAAGTTTTATAACTCATTAAATATAGAAACTCTTTATTCAACAAAACAAAGTTTCAGCAATTTTGATGATTCATACTGGAATCAAATGTTATGAATAATAAACACCTTCCTTAAGCTATTTTGGTAAAATAGAAGTCTCATTATGCAGATAGGAAATTTGAAAAAAGAATAGCTAGTCTTCATTCCCTTAAATACTGATGCTATATTTGTCAGTTACGCAGTTACTCACAATAAGGTAAGGAATTTTAAGAAAACAATTTCAATATTAATTGTAGTAGATTAATTAAATTACAAAACAATGCACATTAAGTGAATATATTAATGTGTGAGTGAATAGGTGAGTAACTATACTTTCATCTTGCAATGCAATTTTTGAAAGTTTAGGACAGCTTTATCAAGACTTCTGCTCCATACCAGAATTAGAAGCACATAAAACTTCTTTGGCAAGCTCAATGCAAGTAAAAACTAACTAAATTACTTCCGCAATAAGCATTTCAGCTTCCGGTACTCTCAGAGAAGAACTCCGCACAAGGGGCAAGGAAGGGACTGCCACAAAGGACTTCTAATATGGGATGCATTAACTTATTTTTTATAAATTACTAGAGAAAAGAATTTTGCCCTTCATTAAAAGGGAATAAAGTTAACTAAGTTGTTTTAACAACTGCAAAAATATGTGCATTTTTGATAACAAACTGACTGAGTTCAGTATGACTGTCTTAGATTTAAATAAATGGCACATTTTTATAATTGTCAAATTAGCTCTGGTTAAGGGAAACTCACATTAAGGAATACTTCCTTATACCTAAAATAAGCAAATTTGACCAACTGTTGCATATATGTGGCAGAGTGTCAATGTAATTACATTAATTAAAGCTCCTACATCTCTACTACCTACCTTTTGACTTTTGTTTTCAATATGTGTGGGTGCATGTGCATGTGTGCGTGTAACAAAGAGTTGCTAACAGGAAGAAAATTAAAATCAAAACTTGAAAAAAAAAAAAAATTAAAATAAATATAACGTACTCACAAATATACGGGTGCAGATTATCCATGGGTGGCAGTTCCCATGCATACATAATCAAAAGTATGTGCAAGATTGTGTAAAGAAAACATATGCATAAGTCTGAGTATGCTCAAAAACTGTTGATTGCATCTTTAAGTTTCAACAATTACTTTCTACAATTCATTCTGCCATGTGCATAGTCAAAGCCATTGTTTCTGTTGATCATTGACATTTTTTTAAATTTCGTATGTAATTTCATTCAGATTTTTTTATTTTTTAAAAATTGATTTAAAATTTTAGAACTAAAAAATGAATAAAGAAAATGTTACAAGTACTAAGCACAAGAATATTCTTTTAACATTAAAACAAAAAACTTGCATTCATCGAAAAATGTAAACATGGTGAACTGACAGTAAAGCTTGCCCAAGAATTTGGAAGTGGTGTACAAACTCTTCATGCTCATTGAGACAGCAATGATTTCTGTTGAAACTCTACTGGACTTTGTAAACCAAAAGGGATTCAAATAGATACAATAGCATTTCAAAAAATATGCACTGAAATTAGACAAATACTTAAATATCCTCAAAAACAAAGTAAAATTAGTGATTTTTTAAAAGAAGTAAACAACTACAATATGCATGAAAATTGATTGTTTGGATTATCTGCGATTTACTTTCCTGACAATAGCCCGGATAATCGAGAGTACACCATAAATATTCCAGAAATTAGTGGCAGCATCTTATTAACATTTTATTATAAAACTGACATTTTTCTTGACAAAAAAGATAAACTAAAATTTATTTTCTCTGTCTACAAATAGATTCAGAAATTAGAGTAGGATTTTATTAACATTTTATTTTGGAATGGACATTTTTCTGAACAACTAAGATCATAACCTGAAATTCATCTTCACAATCAGGAAATAAACTGAATATCTCACAAAACTCTTAAAATTAAAGGGCCAAATACATTTAGACTATTCTAATCAAAATTGAAAAAGTAACATTCCAATGTAAAACTCAGAAACCGGAAAAATGCCTAAAGGGAACCAAATGTTAAATTTAAAAACTGTGCAGAATTTTATTCTGCAGAAAAACTTCCATTAAAAAGAACCCACAAATTATTTTAAATGTATTACACATAACAAGATTACAATTAAATAAGCAATTTCCCTAAATAAAAATTTTAATCATCCTAATAAATAAATAAATCAGCTTCCTGTTGCAAAATCTTAAGAATTCAAATGTTATAAAGGAAGTTAAAAACTTGTTTCCTAAAAAAAATCACGCAAAACTTTTTCTATAACTGAAATTATATATAATTAAAGCACAATATAAAAAATTACAATAAAATAAGCAATAAATCTCATATTTTCAAGAGAAAACAGTCAGCAGTCCAGTATCCAAAGCAATGAATGAAAAACTGTTGCTAAAACCACATTTCTAAAAGAATGAAACAATCATCAGAAAGCAATAACCAATCAAAATTGTCCTTTGTGGATGGCATAATTAAAAATATAAAAACTTCTTTGCCATTAGCTAATAAAGAGAGAGAGAGGGAAGAGGAAATTCTTTCTGTTGTGCTTCGCAAGATACAAGCACATCAGAATAAGAAGATTGCAACGTTCGTGTTGCATGTGTAAAAATCAAAAGAAAAGAAAGCAGCATTTTATCTCATATTTTCAACAGTCAGCAGTCCAGTATACAAAGCATTGAATGAAAAACTGTTGCCAAAACCACATTTCTAAAAGAATGAAACTATTCAAAATGATATGATTAAATTAAAAAAATCTGATTCGAATTTTGAAAAAAAAAAAAAAAAAAAAAAAAAAAAAAAAAAAAATCGCTTCAAGGTGCTCTTGTCTAAATGCAATTATATACCACATTTCGTAGCCCTGGGTCTATTAGCTTATGCACAGCACGAACAAAAGACACACAGACTCTTTTATTATACGTAGAGTATCCCCACAACTTAAGATAAATGTGCTATAATTGTTAATACAGCAACAGACAATTAATTACAATTCTTCTTTGAGAAGTCATTTACGTTGAGCACATTATTTCTGCAAGTTTTACAAAAAGCTGATGACTAACCACTTAGATGATACAAATAAAATAAGCGCACAGATCAACAGATATTAATGATTAATTTCAAGCTGTAGATTAAAGAATATATTTCAACAATGTTTTTGTTGTACATATTTTATAGTTACTTTGTTACCATGATTTTGCATAATGTTTCAAAATTGAAGAATTGTGTTGTCACTTCACTTTCTACCATAATGTTTTCTGCTTATTTTCCCACCTACTATTATGTTTCAAATGATGATGCAACCTTCCCTGCTCCCCCCCAATCCTGTTGCTTCCTCAAGAATATTTTGACTGACATCAGAAATAATACATAAAATATGTCTACAGAGTTTTGTAACTAAGTCTTACAAACTTGACAGATGAAGAAAATTACACTTTTACTAGCATTCAGTCTTTGTAAGTCTATGAAATGCTTGGCACATTCCTAAACAAAACTAAATGTTTTATGTCTGTGATTACAATTTTTCTTTTCTCTTCATATCTATTAACCCTTTGTCTCTCAGGCACCACTCGGGCACGGTGTGTCTCAGGCACCACTGCATGTGATGCGATAACTCGAGCGGTGCCCGAGAGGCACCATTCGAATCAATGTGTCTAGTTGCGTTTGACCTAAGAAATATCGCTTGAGAGATCTACTTGGCCATTTGTAGATCATATTACGAGGTGTCTGAATAGCTATAAGGATGTCTTATCCAGGGTTGCCACTCAAACAGGAGAATGAAATTCCCTGACTTTTCCAGGTTTTCCAGGTGTGTTTCAAGAAAATTCCAGTCTATCTGCGTAATGTACATTGGCTGTGCTAAGAGGTAAATTAATTATGGTATTACTTGTATTGTGTAGCAAATTCACTTAATTATTCAATAAGTCCCAGAGGACATTTATTCTTAATTATTCTTGGTATACTTTATTTGATAATTTTGTTTAGTTTTCCACTTAAGAAACTTAATAAAATTTAAGATATATATATTGGATAACAAATGTATGTTTTAGTTAATTATTACTCATGATCATCACCAGTTCAACACAAGGCTAATCCGGTCCTTATAAATCACAACGCAATGCTAAATAGTTAGGTTAGATTTTAGGTAAATTTAATTTGCGTGAGGTATGTTCTTAAAAGGCACCTTAACACTTGAAAACACAAATATAATTATAATAGTTGTTGTTTTCTCCACTGAAGATTGAGATTAGAATCTTCCCAATCTGGAATAAAATAAGGCTTTTTTTGCAGACATTCTGCAGCTAAACGAAAGAAAGAAATCTATTTTAATAAATTGAGGTATTTTATATTTATTTTGCAGCATACATAAGGAAAAAATATGTGCATTAAATTTCATGATGGTATGCCATCATACTGCTATAATTAATTTCAGGATTATGCCAGAGAAAATTTCCTGAAATTTGGAAATATTATTTACTAATAATAAATAAATTTAGAGGGAAGAAGCAACATTAAATTATATGAATAACATAAAAATAATTACTTAAAAATTGAATTAGAATAATCAACGATATTTTAGCGAATATAGTTATATTACATGGCTAGCGTAGATGACTGATTACTACTTTTTTTATTTTACTGCAAAATGGCAAGGTATTTATTAAAAAGAAAAAAAAGCTTAAAAAGATTTTGCGGTAAAATTCTAGTATACGGTAAGGCTTTGGCACGATTTTGAAAATTGTCGCCAAGACCAAAATGACCCGTTTACTGCGCATCAAGATGTCGCCAAATCCCATTATTATTCTAACCAAAGAACGTCTATGTAAAGAAGAAAAGGTTCCATACAAGTAAAATGCTATTACGCCGCTAGAATGCGGAGGGAAAATTTGCCAAGGGATTTGGCGACGGAACCTGGCGGCCAGAATTTCCCTCTCCGCGATGTGTACAGGAAATTGAGAAACATGTGTTAAGAAGAAACGCTCTTTAACAAAAAGAAAACTACGAAAATCCGTTTTTAAATTATTGCGAAAAATCCAAGAAGAAACGTTTTATCAAAGGACGTTTCTTCTTGGATTTTTCGCATTAATTTTAAAAACGGATTTTCGTAGTTTTTTTTCCCCCCCTGAAAATAACTAATCCATGAATTAATTTACTTGTGCCAAAAAATATTTTCTTTTCCTTTAGAGTTTAACCACTTGCGCTAAGACTAAACTTCACGGTTGCGGTGTTGTGCGCTACAATATAACAAATCTTAAAGTGTCTCATTTACGCTGCTCCGCATCTGCGAGTGCAATCCAGAGCTGTAACTCGAGAAATAAACAATCTCGTTGTTAGGCGACGTGTGCACCACGTTATTTTCATTTTTGCGATAAATGCTTATCGACGTGTTCACGTCGCTCGCGGTTTGAGACAAAAGCATCTTGACGTGCGTGGCACGTCTTTTTAGCGCAAGTGGTTAATGAAATTTTAAACGATATTCATTTTATGAACTCTTGATAACGTGACCTTCGAACTTCGACACCGGTTTCGAGCTTTGGCGACAGATATATCAGACATGCACAGCTGTTTTCCCTCTATGATGGAACGGAGCCACAGCCACGTCTGTTGCAGAGAGATTTTCCTTCTTTACAATACATATTCTTTGATTCTAACCTCCATGGTACCGTATACTAGGATTAAACCCATTTTGTTTTATACGAGAACAGGTACTTTCTTTAGTTCATGCACTGCACATGCGATTCTCGAGAATATTGAAAACCAAAAGTTACGGGAAAGTTGCTTTGCCTTTCTAAAAGACAATCAAATTGGAGCTGCGAAAATTGGCTCTATGCCAGCTACCCGAATGACACTCACGTGATACATAATTCGCCAAAAAATTTACCTCTTCCGACGTCGGCGCAAAAATCGCTTTTTTTGGCGGGATCGTTGTATGAACTTCCCTGACTTTTCCAGATTTTGACAAAAATACTTAAATTCCCTGACTTTTCCCTGAATATTTTGGTCAATTTTCGAATTCCCTGACTTTTCCCGGTTCTCCAGGTAGCGTGGCAACCCTGCTTATCTCAAATAAAGATTGTCTTTACAATGCTTTTGCGATTAAATGTCTTATCTCAAAAATACTTGCGACTGCGGGTAGGACTCTGTCTTCGACATCAGCTTGAACTCAACCTTCTTGCTGATCGCAGTATTTCTTTCAAAGTTACTGAGCCCAATAAGTATGGAACACGACGAAGAAGTTACTTCTAGCGAAGATGAGTTTAATTTTTTGGCAATAACGAACGAAATTACATCACTACAAAGACAGCTTGCCCATGAGAACAAAGACGGAATTGATAAAGATAGTGACGACGTTAAAGGAGCAAGAAGACGAAAAATCCAAATAATCGATAGTGAATCTGGAAGCCGAAGTGATTGTACAGAAGAGACTGAACCTTCAGAATGGACAGTGTGCACAAAAATCACCTCGAGCGCAAAGGGTTAAAATAATAGCCTTTAAGGCAAGATACTTTAAGGAACAGAAAGTTGTCTGCAGATGCCACATTTGGTGAATAAGGAGACTGACTGAGAACTAACACTTTTCTTTGCCATAAAATGCATGATGAGAAAGGATCTGTGTGATGGTACATTGTCATAAACTAAAACCAGACACTTAATTAAACTTTTTGAAACATAAAATGCTGTATTCTCTTCAGCAGTCAGTCCATTATGCCTTTATAAATTATGTAGTTCACTGTCCTTCAGGAACAAATTCCTAATGAATTATTCTGTTCAGTTGGGAAGGGAAGAATATAATCTTGAGATTTTTTAAATGAAAGCTCCAGTGACTGCACTGAAATTACTCCAATCCCAAGGCATACAAAAACCATTTTGACTCAGGATAAGCAAAACATTAAGCTTCATCTTCGGTCACTGTTTGAAATCAGGATGAAGGCCTTCCACTTGAATCATTTCATGACACAGAGAAATTAAATGTGTGGCAGTCAATACACAAGAAATGGAATGAGAACAAAATTTTCGCTTTTCACTGTCTTCCAGAGTAAGTTTGTGAGAAAGGTCTTTACTGATGTAATGTTCATCAGATATCATTTTGCATAAGAGACAGGCAACAATTTTTCAGTAATAACAGTAAAACATTTTAAATGTTCTCATCTATTCTAGAGTGTGAAGGGCAACTATTCTTGGGATAATCATAAATAACCTTGCATCCATCCATCAGACATCATTCATAATAATGAAAAACACTAGGTTTTGTTAATAACTGATATAATATTTGATACATTTTCATTGCTGGTTGCCCCCGTTACAAGAAAATTCTACAGTTACTATTTACTCGATTTTTGAATCCATTACAGTCGACATTCAGTAATTCATAGAAAACGAATACTTGCATGAAAAATTCTGTTCATAAACAGACATATTTTAAGAATAGCAAATTTCGAAGATGTAATAAAATACTGCCAATAGTCATTTGCCCAGCTTGCCGGAACTTGTTATAAAATATCAGTCCTAAATATCTGCAGATGTGCCATGTATATAAAATAATTACAATAAAATTACATACTTTACTAAAAATAACTGCTAGCTAGCAAGAAAATTTCAAGCAATAAGAGTACTGATATACAGTGAGTCCATAAAGTCATGGTGCACATTTGATCGGTCACAGGAAAGCAACAAAACAAGATATAAATGTGAAATCTTCACCAAACAAAAGGAAAACTCTCCAAGTTTCAGTAGTACGATGTGCAAGTGTGTGCGCACGCAGGTGATGAAGCAACATCGCACACTGTTAAGCAGCAGATCAGTTCACCCATGTCATTCAAGATGTGGACGTACAGAGGAAAGACAATTTCTGGCTTGCCAAATTGTGTACAATAAACCGCCACCACATAAGAATACCATTAATCGGTGGGATAAACAGTTGAAAGATAGTGGTGGTTTGTTGGATAAGCCCTGTTCTGGCAAGCCATTTGGTCAGTGACGAGTCTGTAGAGGCTATACGGGAGAGTTACCTAAGAGGCCCTAAAAAACCAGTGCAAATGTGCACTCGACAATTACACCTAAGCAAGATAATAGTTTATAAGGTGTTCAAGAAACGTCTATGTTTAACAGGTTACAAACTGCAGCTGTTGCACGCTATCAAACCGACTGATAGATCCAAACGTTTTCCTTTTGTTACAGATATGCTTCATAAGATCGACAATGATAACCGATTTCTGCAGAAGATTGTGTTTAGCAATGAGGCAACATTCCATGTTAGTGGACATGTTCATCGCTATAACTTCCGAATATGGGCTGCTGAAAATCTGCATGCCTACATAGAGTACAAACGTAACAGCCCTGTTACGTTTAATTAATTTTGAAGTTAATGTGTGGTGTGGCCTGATGCATGATAAAGTGATAGGACCATTTTTCTTTGCAGGAGCAGACTGTGACGCCAGACAACTACCTTGACATGTTGAAATTGTATGCAGTGCCACAATTTCCAGAAGGTGTCATCTTTCAACATGACGGCGCTCCTCCACACTTTGCCAAAATTCTTCATGAGTTTCTGGACGTAATATTCCCCTAACGGTGGATAGGCAGGGGTTCTCTCAAGCCATGGCACCACAATCCCCAGATTTGAAGCCCTTGGATTTTTACTTATGTGAAGTTATGCGAGTTATGTGAAGCAATGTGTGTACAGTAAACATATCAATGGCATTAATCATTTAAATCACAAACTTTGTTCACTTTGTTACACCAGATGTCCTTAACCGTGTGTGGGAAGAACTCAAGTATTCTTTAGATGTTTGTAAGGCAACAAATGGAGCCCACATCAAACTGCACTGAATAGGTATAAAACTTTAAGAAGTTTTCTTTTGTTTGGTGAAAATTTCACATTTATATCTTGTTTTGTTGCTTTCCTGTGACCTATCAAAAGTGCACCAACACTTTACGGATATAGTATATAATTTTGATATTTCACATAGGCACATATTTTGAATTTCAATGCAGAAAAAAATAATTTTAGACATCAATCTTGTACAAGTATGTATGCTAAAAACTTATTTAATGCCCTTCTCCTTAATCAGAATAAGGGTATAAAACAATTACACATGCTGAAATTCTAATATTACGTACTTATATTTTTCATCAGAAGAAACATCATCCATTGGTTTAGGATCCAAGGCTTGCAATAATAAATCATCTGAATCATCAAATTCTAAAGATTCTTTTTTTAATTCTTCTGCTGATGGTGTATTTTGAAATGGAATAAAATCTGGGTCAGATATTACTTCTGACAATTCTTTATCTATATCACATTCAGAAGTACTGGTGGATAGTTCCTCTGCACCAGCAGTACCAGCATCAGTTTCCTCAATTTGTTTCTGCAGATCCCAAACTGGATGCTTTGTAATGGTAGTAGGCCTTTTCTTCATTAAGAAGTTTCTGACCTTGTTAAAATCTACTGATGATGATTTTTGGCCAGGATAGGACTGAAAGAGAGCAAAAAAGAAAAAAAATATTATGAATTTACTAAGAATACGCATATTGTATGTGTTATGTATTAATCGCTAATATTTTCAAGCTTAAGTTTTGCTTACTATTTCAGTTTTGATCTGTAATTGAAGTTCTAAACCTTTTTTTTTTTTTTTTGCTTTTAAGTTTAAAGTTGGTTATAAGTTTAAACTAACTTTTGTAAACTTTAAATTTAGGTTTGGTTGCTTTAAAAGTTTTCTTGTGTTGAAGGCGATTAATTTTAATTTGAGTTTAGGGGCTTAAGATTTTTGTTTTTTGTTCTTGTTGTTTTGACCCTTAAGGACTTTAATTATTTTAAAGCCTTGTTGCTGCACTTTTGGTGTGTTAAATTTTTCTTAACTTAAGGTAACTTAATTTTTATCCCTCTTTCTATTAAAGTAATTGAATTCCTATTTTCTGACAGGTGGTAAGGTAAATCAATTGTAATTGAAACTCAGTCTGGATAATAAGTGTGTATACTAAAAAGGCTGCTGAAGAAACAATTTATATAGTGCTGACATTTTTTTTTTAGAAATTATATTATTGTGTAATTAGTAGTTTAATTTTTAATTTCCCAAAGTCATTTGTGTTGACTTGGTTTGAAAATTTTCACACCCGAATCGTCGGCTTGGAATTCATTCTTGGAATCCCTTATCAGAGGATTACTACAACCTGAAAATTCTTTCACCCAAACGAACAACCATATGTGCGGGTGACGTGTTGGATGTATACACCATCTGGAGTTTCCCGAAAAGAGGACCCTGTTTTGCTGGACAAGAGAGCAGGGAAAGGTTCTACAGCGTATTTTGAGGAGGGGGAAATAATCGTTGGGTAGGAAGCTCTACATGGTCGATTTGGACCTCGATGCGAGGCTAGATTATCCTCCCCCCTTGTTTTCATCTGCGGAGATTGTTGACACATTGGTGTAGCCTTGGAGACCGAATGATTGAACTGCGCTAACTGGCTCTTCTGGTAGTCGGGAAACCCTTTCCCATGAAGATTTCTCTGTTTGGTTTGCTGGACTTGGCTTCTTGCTGATCACCTTCTACGGCAAAATTTCAAAAAACACGCCAGCTATTAAAGTGGATGCGCAGTGTTTTCAGGAGGGGAGAGGAGGAAAACATTTTTGATTACATGCTTTTCTTTTTGACGGACCCAAGCAGACTTTCTCGAAGAAAAGGAATGAGAGATGACTTCTAAGATGCAGAGCGGAGACCAGCAGTCGGAAGTTCCTGGTGAGATAAACGATTAAACAACCTACACAGAAGGAAGGCATATTGAATCAAGAATTCCTGAATTTGACTGACTTCAGTATATGTTTCGGGGAAGACCGGAGTCCTACCGGTTGGAAGCGGCTGTGGGGTGGAAAGCCTGGCCTCCGAAAGGGTTGCACATTATTAATTCTCATAAAATTTTTTTTTTTTTTTCCTTACAGAAGTATCTATAAACGTTAATTGTTATTACCTGCATCGTGACAGTGTCCATCTGAGTTTTTCGCCTGTATCAAGTACCCAAAATTTTGTATGATGCCTCCCAAATGGGAAAGGTGAATTGTAAAATTTGTAAAGAAGGTATGTAAACTTCAGTTGTTTCTTCAGATATAAGGCTGACCGGTCGCCACTATTTTAAAATGTAACTATATTCTTACTATTTTCTCCTTAATAAATGTTAGATTGATTTTACCTACTTAGCCTTGTAATTATTTTAATTATTTGACTTTGCACTGGACCATAGCTTTTGAACGGGTTATTGCCCGACATTATGTCACACAACGCAACTTCCTGAAATTTAGAATTGTTTATTTATTTATTTTTATGTTACACTATGATAACTACTCAAACTCCTATGTTATGTGATTGATACAGTATTGGTCGAAATGTTTTTGTTATGTTAACCATATACATACATTTACCTACCACATAATCTGGTATGAACATTGATAATAGTAAATTACACAGAAATGATGTTCAGTAGTAAATAATACATATGAAATTATATTATGTAATATTGATATAACATATGAATTATTTAAGAATATAAATCTTGCACAAATTTAAGAAATAAATATTAGAAGAGCTATTTCCAAAATAATTTCATAATAGAGATATCAAAGCTTTCTTCTTATATTACATAAAATGTAGATAAATTAATTAAATTTACCTTTTCATTCTATATGATTAGCAACGGATTAATTCAATGATAATGTTTGTAATACACAGAAGATTCAGGAAGCTATTACAAAGAAGATGCAATTCTCCAAATAAATGAGATAAAGGATGTAGCACTTTTTGTTAGATTTAATAACAAAATTTACAGAAATTATGGAACACAGGAATAATTAATAAGATAAATATATTAAATATTTGCAAAAGAATGCATAAAAAACTTTTTTATGACATTGCATAAACACTAGATAGGTAAGTCACAAACATTTTCTAATAAATAAATCAGTATTACTGAAATACCAGAAAATATTTTTTCAAATTTCTGGAGACATGTTTGACAAATTTTTCAGTAACTGCAGTCATGTAAACAACATACCTGAACCCACACTCTCCACAGAAAATTTGATTGTCAGAACATTCAGGGAGAGCGGTTCAGAAAATGACAGTTTGACAATTTATCATCCAGCTAGTTATAGAATATAACCAGAATAAAGCTCACTATATCACTGATACTTTTTTGAACTTGCACCACATTAACCTAATATGTTTATATAAGTTTCTCTAAATGCTTGGCTACCAAATTATTACAGACAAACGTTAGTATATTTTCCACATTTGCAGTTAAATTATTTGTTGAATGCTCATATATCATTATCATTTTTATCTGAAATTTCATGTTTAATGTTTCTCTAGAACATGACACATTTTCTGTTAAATTTAGTCAGAAATTTCACATTTTATAAACTAAACATGTGGAAAAAATTGGAGTTTTAAAAGAAACTTTTATATATTCATTAACATGCATTTTTATGCATATGTGTATAAATATTACACATGTATATTATTTATGAAGTTACACATCACTTCCTAGTTCTTATGATTGTTCTTTTTTGCTGATGGTCCCTTAAATGCACTTGTAACTGAATTTCATTGGAAAGTGTAATTTTAAGCCTGCTATTTATACGGCTACAGTTATAATATGTTGAACATTTCTCTAAAAAAAAAAAAAAAAAAATCCCAAACTACTGATTTTTGACTATACAGTGTGTATTTTATTCAGTATTACTGAAATATTAGAAAATATTTTTGCTTAAGCAATTAGAATATACAGCTATCATTTTAAAACACATATGAAAGAATAATATTGATTTAATATGAGGCATACTTTTTTAATAACTTTGATGAAACTTACTTCATTCAACTGATGACCTGCTTTACTTACATCAGCATTCTCAGAGCTTACAGTTGCACTTCAGAAAAGAAAGTTTAAAAAATCAAGAGATTCAATAATAATGCTACATGAATAGAAACTAAATCCATAAAACAAAAAAAAAAAAAAAAAAAAAAAAAAAAACAATTCCTATTTAAATATGAATTCAATATGAAATAGAATTTCAAACACATTGAACTGGATATAAAAATATAAATTTCACTTTTCTTCCACAAATTAAACTAAGAAGTTCTTTCAGTTTTAACTTAACTTGACTAGAACTAAAATTTCATGCATTGCCACACAACTGCCTAAAGACAAGTAAATTCATTTTTAGACTTCAGCTTAATATATATATAAATTTATTTTTGGACTTCAGCTTATTATATATATATATATATTTCGTGAAAATTTTGAAAAATAACCTAATTCTTCATAAAATAATTAAAAATACCTTAAAAAAAGCTGGCATTAGCCTTACCAATTTTTAGATAATTTGAGTTAGATAATGAAATTTTATACTTAAAGCCCAATGGGACGGTATAAAGTGGATGGCTGATTCAGACAATCTAATGTAAAAATGTACAGATAATTCTTGTCACTACAATTTCTTTCCTCCAAAAGAGTTTGGCACAATACTTTAGTACTATTGTTTTAATAGTTTTAAATTACTTTGATGGCCAATTCTACTTTTATTAACAAATCGGGCCTTTTCGTTTTTCATTGTAGCTTGATCGCCCTCTAGCTTGAAGAATTACGACTTTTATTAACAAATTACTTTTTCCTTTTACTCTTACTTTTGTGGCCATGTTGAGTAATCTTTGCTGAATTAGCCATTTTTGAAACAGTTTTATTTTTCTAACAAGTTGACTGACGCCATTTTGGATTCTTTCCATGTCTTTTCGAGTCTTTCAACCCCTCTTTAACTCAGGGGGGGGGGTACGAGCTCCCTCGAAAGGACAATCTAATCGCATTGGCTGATACGCAGTGACATTGTTTCACCCGCCTACCTCACACGACGAGAGGGATGGATTTGAAAGACACAGAGGGAATTACAACCCCTTTTCAAATTTGCTTCGAGATCAGGAGGACAGCATAGCCACAGGTCTGTTTTTTTTTCTGTTTATTTGTGGGGTTTTTTTTAAATTTATTTATTATTATTATTTTCTTGGTCTTAGCAAGACCCACAGTGTTTGCTTTCATTTGAATTTAATTTCAGAACTATAAAATTCATAAAAGTTTTACTCTTTAAGCTTGCAGGTCCAGCCCGTACGTTGTTGTATCGTTTGACTAATAGCAGACCGCTATTTAATTTATTTTATTTTTATTTTAATTTTAGCTTTGCTCGGAGCTACATTTACATTTCTTTTTACACCTTAATGTGTCATTTTTTGCGGACGCATCGGGAAATTGGAATGGAGAATTGAAGCTCCAAAAGATTCATATTATTTAAAAAATTTTTCCTCACATAAGAGCTTCAATTGTCTGTTTAGGAGAAACGCGTAATGGTGTTAACTTGGTTCGACTTTCAACTGATATTTCCCTTGAAAAGCCAGGTTGGAAGTCTAACTAGGCTAATTTACCATTTTCTGCTTTGTAATTTTTATAATTTTATGTTTTTCATATGTTTTAATTTTGTTTTAACTTGTTCCGTCGTTCAGTTTTTTATATGTGTTAACTTTTCACTTATCACATCGATAGGTTTTACTGTATTTTTTTGCCATTCACATGTTTCCGTTTGATTTTAACAGTTTTATTTTCTACATTTTATTTTGCGTGTAAGCTATTTTTTCACCCTTCTAGCCACAGCTCCTGGTAACTTTCTGGCGAGCCCACTACAATATTTCTTCCTATTATATCATAATTTTTGCAGCATATTGTGCAAAAAAATTTTTAAACCAAATAGGTCTTACAACACAATACTTATATATATATATAATTATATATATATATATGTATATATATAACTTTGTTCACAGTGGAGCAAAGATTACTTTACAGATTCTTAATACAGTCAAAAGTCATTAATTCGGACCTCAAAGCTACAAACTTTCTGCGCATGCGTCGCGTTGACGCACGCGCATAGGCGTTTACGCATGCACGCTTAATGTATAACGGACGGTATAAGCTAAGCTAAAATTATCTAATTCAGTTAATGTTGCAGATTGCATTGTTCCTTAATCTTCGAATTAGATCCGGCTTATTATTTTTTGCAGACTGTTAGAGCAATTTTATAAAAGTAAACTTGAACTTTCGATTATGTCAAATAGAATTTCCGATATATATTTACTAATATGTAAAGGATCTACAAAGCGAAAGTATGTTTCGAAGTCCATTAAACAGAAAGTGAAATTTCTACAAAAAATGGATAAAGGCATATCCTTTGATTATCTAATCATTCCAATATATGTTTATCAATTTCAAGCTGCTCTGCAGGGGGCAATGAATTGGAAGTCGATCTGTCAGCACTATCCTTATCCTCAGGGCAGATGTTTTTATTTTGTTTGGCTTGTAATTCCTTACTAAATGTAGTATTTCATCTCGATGCCCTCCGTCTTTGATATGATTTAAATCAAGTTCCTCATCATTATAATTCGCTTCCGATAGTGAAGAAAGTGACGCAGAGGTTATTGAAAACGAAAAAATTTCGATTGACAAATCAGTCGGTATTCTCAACGCAGCAATTATAGGACTTGAACAGCGGATCTTTGTAACTAAACAAGAAAATTATGTCTGTTTAATAGAATTAAAAAGAAAGTATTATCACATGAAACGAAGCAACTTAGATTGAAAGAAATGTTTAATAAAGTAAACAAATGTAATTGTAAATTTTGATACCCTTTAGATCATAATTGTTTTTTATTTCATAAATTACGGTTTTATATTTTTAATTTTATAATTTCTGCATGCCATCTTGTCAGATTTAAACTCATGATCTATAATTCGGAAAAATCGATAATCCGGAATCTCCGAAGTCTCGAAGAGTCCGGATTAACGACTTTTGACTGTAAATGGAATTGTTTAACTGAACTGAGAATAGTAGTGGTTTATAAAACAACACAGAATTAGTTACACTTTGTGATGTTAAGTACTGTACATATTCTTCATATACATTAAAATTCAGATTAATGTGGCAGCCAGTTAATTAAGTAGCCACTTTAGAGACAAATCTAAAAAAGTAAATTTCAAATGATAAGAATTTTTTTTCTTTAATCACTACAGTATGTTATTTAATTGGGACACTTCCAAGAAAGGAAAAATGCCTCAAAATGGCATTTCTAGCAGTTAGACAAATTTTAATAATTTTAATATTTTTGCCAAGGGGCAGTGCTTTAGTTTCAGCATTTGCTGTTTAACAGAATAGACAGATAATCATTCATGTGCTGATGAATTAAATAATTTTTAAACTGTTTAGACATTGTCTGCTTAAAACAGTTGCATTGCCAAAAGTATTCTTAAAAGTTGTCACTTCTGGCAATTCTCAAGCTGTATAATGAAAACCTAAACATACTTTTCATTTGTTAAAAGTTTAGGCTAGCAAGTTCTCACTAATAATCAATATTTTTTACATATTATTTAGCCACCTATTTATGAACAAGTCACTTCTTTCTTCTTGCAGAATGCAGCCATCGCAGTTTTTATCAAATGTCACTCGCATTTATTTGCAAACTCTATATTATGGAAATATACCAGTAAAATGATAAAATAATGCAACTCTTAATTTAGCTTCTATTATAAATTTTCATAGATGCTACCAGAAAACTACAGGCCAAAATCTCTGTATATGCTCTTATTAGATTTTGAAAACAAACAAGAATGGAAAATGATATCGAGAAGAATAGCTAAACATAAATAAACAAGAAGCACTGTATAAAATCAAATCAGTTGATCATTTGAACGTGATAAAAAAATATGCACTAGCGAACGATGAATTAAAAAACAAAAGAGGATAATTTAAAATAAGGTCATTAAGACCTTATTTGAAACTGACTGAGAAAGACTGAGAAACTGATAAATTAAGGTCAGATAATTTCAAATGAAGGATAATAAGTTGTCACATTAAAAACTTTGGCATAATACCATACCCACCTGCATAGATTTCCCTCTTATGTATTCCCTAGTTCCCCCCTAAATATGATTTATAAACTTCTGATTTATAGCAACAATGTAAAATGTATGCAAAAATAGAAAAACATTTTGTTTAAGTAAAAAAGAACATTATTAACAATAATAACTTCTGTTGAAAAACAAAATATAATCATATCAGTGCTAGTGAGAAGCATCAAACCCAAATCACCACACGTGGCCCTATGGCTTAATCAGACCTACAATACAAAGTCTGAAATAATACATAGAATGATCTTATGTGCAACCTTTATATATATATATATGTGTGTGTGTGTGTGTGGTGTAATAATAAAATTCCATAGTCAAGAATACACTTCAAATTCTAATTGTATGTTCTTTTCATTTTTAACGGCGACGGTCTCTTATTTAAAAGTACGTGGAATTAAATCCACAGCCCCGTAGTCAAGTTGTTTTTCCCGCCTTTTCTACGCGTACAGTTTTAGAATGTTCTTGAGATATTTAAAGCGAACTGGAATGGCTGGTGTGATTTCTTGGAAGCTCTGCCTTTTCAGAGGCTATAAAAGGACTCGCAAAGGAATATCCGGGTCTTTTCTTTAATGTAACAATGCAGTAAACTTCATACAAAAAGTTATTAGCAATTCTTTTTTATTTACTCCGGAAATATGATTTTAGTAACTGCTATTTCTCCTGACCAATAATAAATGGATCCTGTTTTTTAAACTTATCGTCTGATAATTTAAGCTACGACTACATCTATATTTCTTCACCAATCTATTTATTCCGGACAAAAGCTGGTACATCACATATATATAATTTTTTTAATGCTTTACACATGCACATTTGATATTTTTCCATAAAAAAAACATGTGGAGAGTCCAAATTCTTAATTTTACTTTGGCACCAAGTAAAATACCTCCATACTGAAAAAACCCATAATTTAGTAGCATAAAT